TTTTGAAACTCTAGTTGGATGATTAAAAAAAAAGTAACTAATACCTCCTCAAATCTCTCATCAACCACTTGTCATCATTTATCATTTATGGTCGAATGTTTATAAGAAGACAACAAGATGTTTTCTCCAAAATTTCAAATGTTCTTTAATGGTTTTAAGAATTTCAGTAGTTTTTTTTATGGGTAATTTTTGTGGTTTAGATCTTTTTTTTCATTTCAAAAATTTATGTTCTATCGATTTTTAGTTAAACAACACATTTTAATGTTCTATATAACTAACATTTAAGGAAAAAAACACAATAACGTAGTAGAAGAGAGAAAAAAAAACTTGGCAAATTATTTATAATCAGCTTTGGCAAATTATACGGTTTTAAACAACTCTACAAAATTGTTTGCGCATGCGTAAACTGGGTCAAGATGCTCTAAGAGTATTATAAACTCGTATATAATTTCTTTTTAAATTTGTTCAAGTAAAAGTTTGCAGAATTTTTTGTAAATATTCGTGTTTCTTAACAATTTTTTTGATAATTTTTTTTTAACAATAACAATAATTGTTTTCAACTGTAACAAATCTCTTAATTCTTAGACCATTAGAAATTTTGCTAATTTTTAAAGCAATTCTATTTTAATTGTTTATTTAGAACTAAGAAATTTTAATGGTTTTGCTTAAAACAATAGTTTTGATTGTTTTTTTTTTTGCTAAAGAAATTTAGAAATCAATTAATTGGTTTATTTGTTTGTTAACAAATTTCTAATGGTTTTTTTCTTTAAAGAATTTAACAACGTTTTCTGGGAGAAATCTGTTAAAAATCTTTTCATTAATTAAGGTCGTGTTGTAGGCTTTCAAAGAAATCAATTAATTTCTCAGTTATACATGATTTCAATTTAAGATTTAACGGAAAAGGGTGTGTTAGCAGGTAATGTAACAGTAAATCCATTCAGTTTTTTTAAACAATATAAAAGGTACCGCATAGTTAACAAAATTACAACTTAATTAACGGTTTGTTACATTTTTAAATCGTTTTTAGCGAGAACTGATCTAGAACTGGACTAGAACTGGACTAGAATGAACTAGAACTGAACTAGAACTGAACTAGAACTGAACTAGAACTGAACTAGAACTGAACTAGAACTGAACTAGAACTGAACTAGAACTGAACTAGAACTGAATGAACTGAACTAGAACTGAACTAGAACTGAACTAGAACTGAACTAGAACTGAACTAGAACTGAACTAGAACTGAACTAGAACTGAACTAGAACTGAACTAGAACTGAACTAGAACTGAACTAGAATGAACTAGAACTGAACTAGAACTGAACTAGAACTGAACTAGAACTGAACTAGAACTGAACTAGAACTGAACTAGAACTGAACTAGAACTGAACTAGAACTGAACTAGAACTGAACTAGAACTGAACTAGAACTGAACTAGAACTGAAAGAACTGAACTAGAACTGAACTAGAACTGAACTAGAACTGAACTAGAACTGAACTAGAACTGAACTAGAACTGAACTAGAACTGAACTAGAACTGAACTAGAACTGAACTAGAACTGAACTAGAACTGAACTAGAACTGAACTAGAACTGAACTAGAACTGAACTAGAACTGAACTAGAACTGAACTAGAACTGAACTAGAACTGAACTAGAACTGAACTAGAACTGAACTAGAACTGAACTAGAACTAGAACTGAACTAGAACTGAACTAGAACTGAACTAGAACTGAACTAGAACTGAACTAGAACTGAACTAGAACTGAACTAGAACTGAACTAGAACTGAACTAGAACTGAACTAGAACTGAACTAGAACTGAACTAGAACTGAACTAGAACTGAACTAGAACTGAACTAGAACTGAACTAGAACTGAACTAGAACTGAACTAGAACTGAACTAGAACTGAACTAGAACTGAACTAGAACTGAACTAGAACTGAACTAGAACTGAACTAGAACTGAACTAGAACAGAACTAGAACTGAACTAGAACTGAACTAGAACTGAACTAGAACTGAACTAGAACTGAACTAGAACTGAACTAGAACTGAACTAGAACTGAACTAGAACTGAACTAGAACTGAACTAGAACTGAACTAGAACTGAACTAGAACTGAACTAGAACTGAACTAGAACTGAACTAGAACTGAACTAGAACTAGAACTGAACTAGAACTGAACTAGAACTGAACTAGAACTGAACTAGAACTGAACTAGAACTGAACTAGAACTGAACTAGAACTGAACTAGAACTGAACTAGAACTGAACTAGAACTGAACTAGAACTGAACTAGAACTGAACTAGAACTAGAACTAGAACTGAACTAGAACTGAACTAGAACTGAACTAGAACTGAACTAGAACTGAACTAGAACTGAACTAGAACTGAACTAGAACTGAACTAGAACTGAACTAGAACTAGAACTGAACTAGAACTGAACTAGAACTGAACTAGAACTGAACTAGAACTGAACTAGAACTGAACTAGAACTGAACTAGAACTGAACTAGAACTGAACTAGAACTGAACTAGAACTGAACTAGAACTGAACTAGAACTGAACTAGAACTGAACTAGAACTGAACTAGAACTGAACTAGAACTGAACTAGAACTAGAACTGAACTAGAACTGAACTAGAACTGAACTAGAACTGAACTAGAACTGAACTAGAACTGAACTAGAACTGAACTAGAACTGAACTAGAACTGAACTAGAACTGAACTAGAACTGAACTAGAACTGAACTAGAACTAGAACTAGAACTAGAACTAGAACTGAACTAGAACTGAACTAGAACTGAACTAGAACTGAACTAGAACTGAACTAGAACTGAACTAGAACTGAACTAGAACTGAACTAGAACTGAACTTGAACTGAACTAGAACTGAACTTGAACTGAACTAGAACTGAACTAGAACTGAACTTGAACTGAACTAGAACTGAACTAGAACTGAACTAGAACTGAACTAGAACTGAACTAGAATTGAACTAGAACTGAACTAGAACTGAACTAGAACTGAACTAGAACTGAACTTGAACTGAACTAGAACTGAACTAGAACTGAACTAGAACTGAACTAGAACTGAACTAGAACTGAACTAGAACTGAACTAGAACTGAACTAGAATTGAACTAGAACTGAACTAGAACTGAACTAGAACTGAACTAGAACTGAACTAGAACTGAACTAGAACTGAACTAGAACTGAACTAGAACTGAACTAGAACTGAACTAGAACTGAACTAGAACTGAACTAGAACTGAACTAGAACTGAACCAGAACTGAACTAGAACTGAACTAGAACTGAACTAGAACTGAACTAGAACTGAACTAGAACTGAACTAGAACTGAACTAGAACTGAACTAGTACTGAACTAGAACTGAACTAGAACTGAACTTGAAGAACTAGAACTGAACTAGATCTGAACTAGAACTGAACTAGAACTGAACTAGAACTGAACTAGAAACTGAACTAGAACTGAACTAGAACTGAACTAGAACTGAACTAGAACTGAACTAGAACTGAACTAGAACTGAACTAAACTGAACTAGAACTGAACTAGAACTGAACTAGAACTGAACTAGAACTGAACTAGAACTGAACTAGAACTGAACTAGAACTGAACTAGAACTGAACTAGAACTGAACTAGAACTGAACTAGAACTGAACTAGAACTGAACTAGAACTGAACTAGAACTGAACTAGAACTGAACTAGAACTGAACTAGAACTGAACTAGAACTGAACTAGAACTGAACTAGAACTGAACTAGAACTGAACTAGAACTGAACTAGAACTGAACTAGAACTGAACTAGAACTGAACTAGAACTGAACTAGAACTGAACTAGAACTGAACTAGAACTGAACTAGAACTGAACTAGAACTGAACTAGAACTGAACTAGAACTGAACTAGAACTGAACTAGAACTGAACTAGAACTGAACTAGAACTGAACTAGAACTGAACTAGAACTGAACTAGAACTGAACTAGAACTGAACTAGAACTGAACTAGAACTGAACTAGAACTGAAAAGAACTGAACTAGAACTGAACTAGAACTGAACTAGAACTGAACTAGAACTGAACTAGAACTGAACTAGAACTGAACTAGAACTGAACTAGAACTGAACTAGAACTGAACTAGAACTGAACTAGAACTGAACTAGAACTGAACTAGAACTGAACTAGAACTGAACTAGAACTGAACTAGAACTGAACTAGAACTGAACTAGAACTGAACTAGAACTGAACTAGAACTGAACTAGAACTGAACTAGAACTGAACTAGAACTGAACTAGAACTGAACTAGAACTGAACTAGAACTGAACTAGAACTGAACTAGAACTGAACTAGAACTGAACTAGAACTGAACTAGAACTGAACTAGAACTGAACTAGAACTGAACTAGAACTGAACTAGAACTGAACTAGAACTGAACTAGAACTGAACTAGAACTGAACTAGAACTGAACTAGAACTGAACTAGAACTGAACTAGAACTGAACTAGAACTGAACTAGAACTGAACTAGAACTGAACTAGAACTGAACTAGAACTGAACTAGAACTGAACTAGAATTGAACTAGAACTGAACTGAACTAGAACTGAACTAGAACTGAACTACAAACTGAACTGAACTGAACTAGAACTGAACTTGAACTGAACTAGAACTGAACTAGAACTGAACTAGAACTGAACTAGAACTGAACTAGAACTGAACTAGAACTGAACTACAACTGAACTACAACTGAACTACAACTGAACTAGAACTGAACTAGAACTGAACTAGAACTGAACTAGAACTGAACGAGAACTGAACTAGAACTGAACTGAACTAGAACTGAACTAGAACTGTACTAGAACTGTACTAGAACTGTACTAGAACTGTACTAGAACTGTACTAGAACTGTACTAGAACTGAACTAGAACTGAACTACAACTGAACTAGAGTTATGAAAGACTCATTAAAGCTATTTTTCATCGAGCCAATATTTTGCCAATCTTACCGATTTGTTTAAGCCAATTGTTCCATTTTTTTTTCTAAAACAAAGAAAAATAAATACATTAATAAATTAGTTAAAAATTTTAATATATTTATTAAAAATTTGTCTAAAGTAATAAGAAAGACAAACGAAAAGACATACATTTGAGGTATTTCATACTAATTTTATTAATTTTTTTTAAACCTTCAATTTCCTAACCTCTAAAACATCTTTTTAGCCCAACTAGTCAACATTAGGTCACATACCCCCATTAAGAGGCACTCGATTTAAAGCATGTTACACCTAAAATCTAAAAAATTTCTCTAAACTATTTTGTGTTGTGGTCACGTTTTCATGTTCTGGTTTTTCTTTAATTTTCTATTTTTGTTATTTTTTTGTTCATTCTTTGTTTCTGTACATTTATTTCATTTTAATGTTTATAATTTTCTATGCCAAATTACCATTCTCATGCTTAAATCTAAAAAACGGCCCTACATTTGACTACAATCACAGAAAAACACTAACAATTTGTTTGAATGTACAACTGTCTGTCCCTATGAATATAAAACGCAGTCTGGAAAACCGCATAAAGTTAAACTTTAGGAAAATATAAAAAAAAATAATACAAAATATCAAATGAAAAAAACTGAAGCCTGATGACAATTTAAATTGTATTTATAGCTTAAAGCAAGTAGTTGGCAAACTCTATGACTATTTCTACTGCTGCCACTTTAAAATTAAATAAAAATGCGCTTTAAATAAAAATTATATTAAACAATTGATTGCATTAAATAAAGCAGAAGAAAAAAACTAGAGCATTAAATATGTGTCATTATGTTACAGAAAATTATTCATAATTTTGCATATTTTTCTCATTTGAAATTAATGAGAAAGTATGGGCGAGCATGAACGAACATATGCGGCGCTATAAAAGTAGAACAGAACTAAAAAAAACTAGAACAGAACTAGAACAGAACTAGAACAGAACTAGAACAGAACTAGAACAGAACTAGAACAGAACTAGAACAGAACTAGAACAGAACTAGAACAGAACTAGAACAGAACTAGAACAGAACTAGAACAGAACTAGAACAGAACTAGAACAGAACTAGAACAGAACTAGAACAGAACTAGAACAGAACAGAACTAGAACAGAACTAGAACAGAACTAGAACAGAACTAGAACAGAACTAGAACAGAACAGAACTAGAACAGAACTAGAACAGAACTAGAACAGAACTAGAAACAGAACTAGAACAGAACTAGAACAGAACTAGAACAGAACTAGAACAGAACTAGAACAGAACTAGAACAGAACTAGAACAGAACTAGAACAGAACTAGAACAGAACTAGAACAGAACTAGAACAGAACTAGAACAGAACTAGAACAGAACTAGAACAGAACTAGAACAGAACTAGAACAGAACTAGAACAGAACTAGAACAGAACTAGAACAGAACTAGAACAGAACTAGAACAGAACTAGAACAGAACTAGAACAGAACTAGAACAGAACTAGAACAGAACTAGTAGAACAGAACTAGAACAGAACTAGAACAGAACTAGAACAGAACTAGAACAGAACTAGAACAGAACTAGAACAGAACTAGAACAGAACTAGAACAGAACTAGAACAGAACTAGAACAGAACTAGAACAGAACTAGAACAGAACTAGAACAGAACTAGAACAGAACTAGAACAGAACTAGAACAGAACTAGAACAGAACTAGAACAGAACTAGAACAGAACTAGAACAGAACTAGAACAGAACTAGAACAGAACTAGAACAGAACTAGAACAGAACTAGAGAAGAACTAGAACAGAACTAGAACAGAACTAGAACAGAACTAGAACAGAACTAGAACAGAACTAGAACAGAACTAGAACAGAACTAGAACAGAACTAGAACAGAACTAGAACAGAACTAGAACAGAACTAGAACAGAACTAGAACAGAACTAGAACAGAACTAGAACAGAACTAGAACAGAACTAGAACAGAACTAGAACAGAACTAGAACAGAACTAGAACAGAACTAGAACAGAACTAGAACAGAACTAGAACAGAACTAGAACAGAACTAGAACAGAACTAGAACAGAACTAGAACAGAACTAGAACAGAACTAGAACAGAACTAGAACAGAACTAGAACAGAACTAGAACAGAACTAGAACAGAACTAGAACAGAACTAGAACAGAACTAGAACAGAACTAGAACAGAACTAGAACAGAACTAGAACAGAACTAGAACAGAACTAGAACAGAACTAGAACAGAACTAGAACAGAACTAGAACAGACTAGAACAGAACTAGAACAGAACTAGAACAGAACTAGAACAGAACTAGAACAGAACTAGAACAGAACTAGAACTAGAACAGAACTAGAACAGAACTAGAACAGAACTAGAACAGAACTAGAACAGAACTAGAACAGAACTAGAACAGAACTAGAACAGAACTAGAACAGAACTAGAACTGAACTAGAACTGAACTAGAACTCATCTAGAACAGAATATGAATTAAACTTAACTTACAGACTAGACTATAGGCTAACTATAGACTGGACTGTAGAACAGACTATATGCTGGACTAGACTGAACTGTAGACAGAACTATGGACTACACAATAGAGGAAAGATTAGACTAATTAGAGTTGATTAGTATAGAATAGACTAGACTATAGACAAAAACTATAGACTCCTTATTACAGAGGTGTAGGCTATAAAAATGTATGCAATGAAATTTTAATGTAAGTTTAATTCTTCTGATATTATTTACACATTTCTCGCGTTATTACAAACTGAATTAAACAAATAACTTATTATTTAATATTTTATATTAATAATATAATATTTATGATAGATCTATATTTAAGTGGCCACTATAATAAAAATATTTATGAAAACAAAATTCCTTTATTTTCCAATAAAATCAATGGAAAAATTATATATAAAGAACCCAATGGGAAATTTGAATTGATCTGCGTTTAAAAATCATTTCCTCAACTTAAATTTCAATTGGGATTACTTTTCAAATAGCATAAAGTCACTGACATTTTCGATACTGTTTTAAACATGTTGTATTTATTTACTCTTCTACGAGATTATATTAAGCTGTTTGTTAGCAAACACTTAAATTTTTATTTATTTTATAGAAAAAATATAAATAAAATTTATTTCATATTTATGATCATCGCCATATTCAGAAGACTAAGTAGTAAAAGGCTGCGAAATTTTTGCAATTTATAGACACTTATTTTTTATATTCTTTAGCTTATAAATGGTATAAAAATCCATAAATAAATGGCAAATGAAATGGAAAATATTATAATGAACTCGCTTGTGATAAAATCTTGAAAATTATATAAAAAGTCTCACACACCTTTATAACTTTACAATCGACATTTAATCACTGCTACTTGTGCTTACTTGGAAGTAATTCAGTAAGTTATAAAATTTGTTTAATCTCTTTCAGTTATTAAAACTTTAGTGTTTAGCTGTAGTAATTTTATATGTGCAATATTTTTATTAAATAAACAATATTTATATTAACTAAGAGTTATAAAACTTCGACATAATTCTTTACCTCTTTTCCATAGAATAATTATCCTAACTAGTCAAACAATTAAATCAACAAAATAAACGTAACGTTAATAATACTATTAAATGTCGTACTTATACATGCAACAATAAACTCTTCAATATGCAGCATGATATTACACTTGGCAAATAAAAGTTTTTATTTTACACTAAGGACATTTTTAACGAGAAAAATGTAAGGAACTGAACTAGAACTGAACTAGAACTGAACTAGAACTGAACTAGAACTGAACTAGAACTGAACTAGAACTGAACTAGAACTGAACTGAACTAGAACTGAACTAGAACTGAACTAGAACTGAACTGAACTAGAACTGAACTAGAACTGAACTAGAACTGAACTAGAACTAAACTAGAACTGAACTAGAACAGAACTAGAACAGAACTAGAACAGAACTAGAACAGAACTAGAACAGAACTAGAACAGAACTAGAACAGAACTAGAACAGAACTAGAACAGAACTAGAACAGAACTAGAACAGAACTAGAACAGAACTAGAACAGAACTAGAACAGAACTAGAACAGAACTAGAACAGAACTAGAACAGAACTAGAACAGAACTAGAACAGAACTAGAACAGAACTAGAACAGAACTAGAACAGAACTAGAACAGAACTAGAACAGAACTAGAACAGAACTAGAACAGAACTAGAACAGAACTAGAACAGAACTAGAACAGAACTAGAACAGAACTAGAACAGAACTAGAACAGAACTAGAACAGAACTAGAACAGAACTAGAACAGAACTAGAACAGAACTAGAACAGAACTAGAACAGAACTAGAACAGAACTAGAACAGAACTAGAACAGAACTAGAACAGAACTAGAACAGAACTAGCATAGAACTAGAACGAAACTAGAACTGAACTAGAACTGAACTAGAACTGAACTAGAACTGAACTAGAACTGAACTAGAACTGAACTAGAACTGAACTAGAACTGAACTAGAAAACTAGAACTGAACTAGAACTGAACTAGAACTGAACTAGAACTGAACTAGAACTGAACTAGAACTGAACTAGAACTGAACTAGAACTGAACTAGAACTGAACTAGAACTGAACTAGAACTGAACTAGAACTGAACTAGAACTGAACTAGAACTGAACTAGAACTGAACTAGAACTGAACTAGAACTGAACTAGAACTGAACTAGAACTGAACTAGAACTGAACTAGAACTGAACTAGAACTGAACTAGAACTGAACTAGAACTGAACTAGAACTGAACTAGAACTGAACTAGAACTGAACTAGAACTGAACTAGAACTGAACTAGAACTGAACTAGAACTGAACTAGAACTGAACTAGAACTGAACTAGAACTGAACTAGAACTGAACTAGAACTGAACTAGAACTGAACTAGAACTGAACTAGAACTGAACTAGAACTGAACTAGAAACTGAACTAGAACTGAACTAGAACTGAACTAGAACTGAACTAGAACTGAACTAGAACTGA